GCTCTAACAGATCATTTTTATGACATAATTCTACATGATAGTCACTGTCTGCGTCACTAAATGAGAGAATGACCAAGAAACAGAGTTAGATCCTCATCAGGTTGCCATGTAGGTAAAGTAATAATAATAATAATAATTATAAAAACAATTTTCTGGGCCGCCCAAATAAAAATAGTCTGGCTCCGCCACAGCCTTACTTTAATTTGGAGAAATAAGAGATAATTTCAGATGGGATTGCTGAGCTCAAAATATCCAAACTGTTCCTTTAACGTCTTTTTTCCTCACTAAGAAACCAGACTCAATTTTTAAACATATCAGTGATTGTAAATCAAATCTTCTGGCTTGTCTGTTCTTCATTTTGATTTGCTCATAATTCTAAATTTGGTCATAATCAACATGTTGATGTGTAACAATGGCACTTGACAAACTGTAATGCTTCAGTTGTTAACTGTGTTCTATGTCTTTGTATTTTTTTGTGTTTTTATGATACAAAGCACTTTGACCTGCCTTGTTGCTGAAATGTGCTATATAAATAAACTTATTGATTGATTGATTGATTGGTTTATTACTACACAACAGCATTAAAACGGTTTATAACTTGAAGCCAAGTGTATTTAAGATCCAATGTGCAACATTAAAGGGATTTATCAACAGAAACCACTAAATCACAGATCTTCACTTAAGTCTTTGACAGGACTGGAAGCTGTTTGGGGAACAGATGAGGAATTGTGTTTGATGGTACCTGAGCTGCTGTTGCACAGTGATAAACTGAGTTCTGATGGACAATTTTCATGTGTTTGATGATGTGTCCAGAACTGATGGCCCAGCCAACCTGACGGCAATGAGAGAAAAAAAAAACTATTAAAAAACTAAACTGAACAAACAAAAAAACAAAAGATAATCCATATGTTGCATTCTGTATTTGACCTTCCAGCCAGTAGCACTGAAGGTTTTCCCGGCGCTGCCGACAGTTATGGTCCGTTCCCACATCCCAGGAAGGCTGGCTGCCACACACACACACACACACAAACACACACATCATGTATTAATAAAGTTGGACCCTTCAGGTCTACATCCTGTCTATCTGCGACTCACCGATCTTCACGTGTTTGGCTCCATCGTAGGTGAGCCACTCGTACACCTCATCACTGAAGCACAGCAGATCATGTTTGAGACACAGATCTGCGATCATTTGGAGTTCCTCCATCTGGTACACCTGCAAACACACACGTTGGTCCCAAAGCTCACTGACTGTGCAAATGGTGAGCACCAAAATATTTCTTTAACAGGAGCACCAAAGCCAAAGCTCCTACCTTGCCTAAAGGATTGTTGGGAGTGTTGATAACAATGGCTTTTGTGCGAGGAGTGATTTTACTGGACAGTTCCTCGGGGGAAAGAACCCAGTCTCTACTCGACAGGACGGCGCTGCCCTCTTTCTGCCGTCAACAGAACAGCAACGTGTTTCTTATGTAATCAAACAAATGAGTAGAAAATAGGAACATCGGCGAACTTACTGGTCTCAGAGGCACATACACTGCGTTCCCTCCAGCCATCAGCACCATCGGCTGGTAGCAGTCGAAGAACGGCTCGACAATTATGACCTGGAGGATGATTTTACTGTCAGGACGCAATTTCGGCTGATAGCAAAACATTCTTCCACAACATTTAGTACGTGGTTATCGTGTGAATCCCACATTAGCAGTTTTTCTCAAATCGAGTAAGAGTATGAGTACATTAGCTTGGGTCCAATGATTTAAAAAAGCATTTTTATTAGTAAGTAAAGTAAAGTTAAATTTTATTTATATCTCGCCTTTCACAGAAATAAATTCACAAGGTGCTGTACATTCAGGGAAGGCGGGAGAGGGCAGTTAAGAAACACCCATTCAAGAGGACATCAAGACAAACATGGGGGAACAGGTGAAACCAGTCATGCAGCAAACACAGTTG